TTGAACCTAAACAAAGCCGTACCTTTGTTCCCCTTTTATAAGGTAAGGGCTGACGGGAAAAGCTAGGAGGCTGGAGCTAATGCTTGTGAACAAGGCCTAATCTCTGGATGGCATCTCGCTGAAGATATCAGTTGATCTTTTGTCACAGTCTGGAGTAGCCATGGTTTCTGCCATGCATTCTGCTTATGGCCCTGAACCTAACGGCTATGAGCTATTGTGCTATGCAGAGGATTGGATTACACACTTGGATTTCATGACATAATGGTGTGTGCTTGTGTGCACAGTGACTGACTGATATTTGTTCAGCAATTTACGAGCTCTCAGGCACCTTGCCATGCCCGGCCTTAATATATATTATCCAATTATTCGTGTTTCTAAGCAGGTGACATTTTTCATCTAACTAACAGGTGATTTGAAGTTAGCTAGCTTACCTTGGTAACACAGCCAATGCGTAAATGATAAAGCCAAGATTCCACACCTGGATTGAGTGGGACCCTCCCCTACACAGTACTGCTCTCTCTCTGTTGGGAGGATCTTGGAGGGACATCTCCACTCACGCTGACTGGTTTCTTTGAGGCAGCACTTGAGGTCCTGGTTTGGGAGGATGGGGTTCATGGCCAGACACAGGTCATGCTGTCAGAGACATTAGGGCGGGCCTGGAGCTAAGATGAACTTCTCGTACCCCTGCCTCTGTCTCCAGCACTGGGACTGCAGGCAGGCCCCACTGTGCTTGGCTCTTTCTTTTCTTTTCATTTTAAACATTTAGATGAGAAATTAGAATAATGTGGTTAATGACACACACCCTAAACCTAGATCAACTCACTGCTAATATTGTTCCAGATTTTTCTCTACCCCCCCTTCTTGTCAGGCACGTCGTCACTCTACTTCTGCATGTAGACAGAGGATGCCCTTTCTGTGGGATCAGGGAAGATGTGAAGGGCGAGTGATCTGCTATGCCTCAGGGTTAGAAAGATAGGCATGTCAGGTGGAGAAGGGATGCTCAGAGGTCGGAAGACTCAGGGCAGGGTCCGTGGAGCCCAGAAGACAACAGAGGTTTTTGTAAGGATGGATTGATACAGCTCAGCTGTGGTGGACGGTAGGGAAGTGAGCAAAGGCTGGCCCGGGCAGAGTAGGGAGGCTGCGGACAACATTGGGAAGCCGGAAAGCCGAGCAGGAGCAGGAGGAGCCAGCCGAGGAAGCCAAATGAGTTGGGGGAACTGTTAGGACACACGCTTGGACCTCACCTCTGGCTGAGCTGGGGACTTTGGGAGTTGAGCCCACAGACAAAAGTTTTAATAAGACTTCCTAGTGACTGAAGGGAACTCAGATTTGAAAACTTGTGCCTGTAAAGATGCTACCGAGAAAGGCTTTCAGCTGAAGAAAGCAAATTCAGTGTTGAGTTCATATTCCTGTGTGTGTGCATTTGTGCGCAAACCTACACAGAAAGATGCAGTTTAATTTATAATAAGCAATGGACCATATATGGTGGCACTGCTTCTAAATGAATAGCTGGAAACAGCATATTTGGAAAAACAATTTATGTTCCCTTAACTCATTGAGTAAATATTTGCTGTATTTTTAAAAAACAGAATTAGTAGGAAAAGCGAGAATCAGGACTGTGTGTATTCTATGCTGCCACTCGCAAAACAGGACATGGATTTGCATAGCATGTTGAAACGCTTAACTGGGGAGCCTTCTGAATTTCATATAGGATTCAAGCATTACAAACCTAAGTTTTAAGAGCTGCTTGCCTAGCATGTACAAAGCCCTGGTTTTGATCTCCTGCATCACACAAACCAGGGATACACGAGGCCCTTCCAGAAAGAGTGAGATGGGGAGAGAGAGAAGACAAGGAAACAAAACCACGAAGATGTTGAGTGAATGAATCTTTCAGTCTGCATTTAAATTCTCACGACAGGAGCTTGTCACTGCCTGACGTGGCCTGTCAACTCATTCCAGTGTGCTGCTATACCAGATCTGCTGGGATGGCAGAGCTGCATGGGGCCATTTGAAGACTACTGGAGGCTTCTGACCTAGATAGCTCTCCAGCAAAATTCTGTGGAGAAGTAGATTTGATGTTTTAAGAATAAGTTGACCTCGATTTAATGTTTGTTCAATTAATGAGACTCATACATAAACTGATCCACATTGGAGTCTTCCGAGGCTGGCTTCACAAACTTGCTGAGGGATCTGGCCAGGAGGAGGTAGTGTCCTGTGGGAAAGGGCTTGAGGGGGCCCTGTGGTGCAGAGGGGGCTACCCGGCCGGTGGGCAGGGGTGGTCTGACTGTGCCCTGGGTGTGAGGATGTGCAGTTACAGAGATGAGCACCAGAGGCTGGCTGTGGGCGGCACTGTGCTCCTGCATGCTGAGGCATCTCCTTAGATTTTCTACAGAGCCCTTTGCAGTTTGAAAGTGGGACCTCATTTAAATACGACAGCACCAAGGTAGGGCTGGTTGGAGCTGCTTAGAAGACAGGGTCTGAATGCAGGAGGGCTGACTGA